ATTTAGTTATGATAGGTGATATGAATAGACGCTGTGGTAATTCTTTATTTGAGCGATGGATTTCAAATGGTGGTAGACATTATAGGCTTTCAGAGCAAATTCGTGTACATCCACAAATAAACAATCTTTTGAGTACTTTTCATAAACGAATTGCGGATGATTTTGCATGTTTAAAAAACAATTCACAAATTGCGGGTACTACATCTAACGTTTATTTTTTGAATCACCAGAACTATGATGAAGTTCCTGATAGTATTTCAAAAAATGTTATAAATACCATTGAAGCTGAATTTGTCACAAAATTTGCCTTCTACCTTCACCAGCAAGATGCCGATTTTGACCCTGGAAATATAACCATCCTCACTCCGTTTACTGCTCAAAAGGAATTAATTAAAAGTTTATTAGCACCTGAACTTATAAAAGAGAAAACTGTAAAAATTAGTGAAATAATAACAAAGGAAGTGGGAATGCACAATTATGAACCTGAGTTTGCTCAAAAAATAATTGTCACTGAAAAGAAATTAGGAAGTGTTAATGTTCAATTGATTAGTGATTATCGCTATGAAGAAAACAAGATAGTCATTCTTTCTCTTGTCGCTGTTCCGCAACGATGGCAAAAAGAAGCATTAACGATATTGAGCACAAAAGACCTTGTATATACAGCCTTGTCTAGAGCAACTAGAGGTTTATACATTTTTGGAGATGGTGATCTACTAAAAAATATTCCACCATGGACCGACATCATTAAAAAAACTATTAATGGTATGTATCTAAGCTTTTTATTTAAACTTGGTTAAGTCCTTTATTTCTTTATATTACATTTTATTGTTAAACGACCGAACTACATTTATATAGAAAATGCTTATGGATCAGAGCTCATCCTTAGTTGCCAAAATCATGGCGTTAAAACTAAAATTAGCCATCCTGATCATTTCAAGAAATATGTTCCCCTCGGTGGCTGTATGGTAAATATTGTGATATACGGGGGTGAGTCAATAGAAACCAAGCAAACCAGGTTTGGTTTCTAAACTTTAAAATAATTTGATAATCTATCCAACTTAATAACTTGAAACTTTTTAATTTTTACAAGCAAGTAGAATTCAAAAAATGTCCTAAATTGCACAGGTTCTTTGTTTAAAGTTTAGAAACCAAAATGTGATTTGCTTGATTTTCATTAGTTCGCCACCATATATATATACATGGTCTACTATTAATTTTAAATATGTTTATAATTCAGATGCCCTGCGAAAAAATGTTAATATGCGGTCATAAATGTCCGCGAAAATGTCATCCAATCCCGCATTCTCAAGAACGAAATCGTTTTAAGTGTGAAGAAAAATGTCATAGGAAGTCAAAAGACCAAAAAAGGAATTGTAACAAAAAACAATCTTGTCAAGACTTAATTAATGAATGTACACATTCTTGTGAACGCAAATGCCACGAATGTTATGCAGAGGGTAGCTGTGGTACCTGCGAAGAAGAGGTCGAGTATAAATTTGGTGACTGTTGCCATAAAACTACTATTAAATGTCATGAGAGACGATACAAGAAATGTGATCAAGAAATAAATGTTATGCTGAAATGTGGACATAACGTAAAAGTACCTTGTCATGAGCGACTTAATGTGGATGAGTATAGATGCAAAAGGCCTAAGGATGTCGAAATCCCAACATGCGGACATGTTGTTCGAGTTGATTGTTTTGTAACGAATCCGGAGTGCACAAAGCGTTGTGGTTACTTATTATCCTGTGGTCATAAATGCGAAGGAAGGTGTGCATCACACAAAAATTATATTCATAGAAGAAGTGATTGTAAACGTGAATGTCTCAAGAGTCTTGTTTGTGGGCATAAATGTATTAATGGATGCGCAGAGCCAGATCAGCATTCCTCTTCATGTATGGAAGAATGCACCTTCAAATGTTCACATGGCATTGGGTGCCCATTTCAATGTAATGATCCATGTTTTGAATGTTTGGAGAATTGTCCGTTGATGTGTAAACACACCAAATGCATTAAGCGATGCTGGGAAGATTGTGATCGACCTCCATGCAACAAATCATGTACTGAAACCTTTAAATGCGGGTAAAGAAACAATAATTATAATTTTTAAAATTTAAATATTTTCAGCTTATTTATTATTTGTATATTTACCATTTTAGACACACTTGTAATGGACTCTGCGGAGAACCGTGTCCTCCCTGTAAAAAGTGCAATCCTAATATTGAATGTCCTATAACTTTAACAAAAATTGGAGAATTTTCTGATGAAGAACGGTGTTATATGCTTCCTGAGTGCCGCTGCGGTAAATAGTTATTTACTAATTTATCGAGATTAAAATTAATGGTGAATAATATAGTTAACATTAATATTTGCATACTATTAGTCTTTATGGTTGATGCTTTAGATCAATATTTCAATGATAAACCATCAGTTAGTAAGTATAATTTTCTGTTGAATGACATCATCTTAAAGCTTTACATAGGATGAGCGATGTCAATAGAATACCTGTAATTTGCATACTTTTGCATTCGGTAAATTTTCATTTTATGGGATTCAATTTTCGACAATGTCTTAGTAGTTGTTAAAAGTTAAACAACTATATAAGAAATTGGATTATTGAATCATATAATGTGAAAACTTACCAAACGCACGAGAATGAGTATCACTTTTCTCAGCATTACTCAAACTATAAAACATTCAAATCAATTAATTTAATCATCTAGATGGACACCTGGTAATTAAGCTGTGGGACTGTCCACGTTGCAAAAAGTTAGTTTACACAGCTGGAAGGTATAGCAAATTTATAAAGGAGGCAGTCCGTATGTGGAATGTTGTTAAATCACAAAAAAAACAAAATGAGCTTACAGAAGAAGAAAAGGAACAAATTATTCAGGCGATGGATAATGAGATTCAGGAACTTTATGGAGATGGGGATAATGTTACGGGTCATTGGTTCTGTTGTCCCAATGGTCATCCTTATTATATCGGTATGTTAGACCTCAAAGAATATATATATCAATTTATCTTTATAAATCTCAATTATTAATAATTTTTTAGGTGAGTGCGGGGGAGCTACTCAACGTTCAGTTTGCAACGATTGTGGTGCAATAATTGGTGGTACAGGGCATATAGTTGTTCCTTCGAATTCTTTCTATGGAGAGTTTGATGGAAGTGCCGCACCAGCGTATCCTGGACAACCAGCAAGGCAACCAAATCGAGAGATCGTTTAAAGTGGAGATAGATCACATAGACTGACGGTGTTCGACCAATCAAAAAATTTAAAATTTTAATGTTATTAAACGATTTTTTAAAAAACTTGTTTAATATTTTTATTATTTATATATTGTAAATAAATATGCCAAAACTTGTAAAAAAATTATTCCTAATGCTAGAAAAATTATAACCTATTAAAATAGTAAAGGAATACTTGTAAAAAAAAACAAATTAAAGAAAATATCTATAAAATATTAATAACAACGTATAAAATAAAGCGCTATAGCATTTTTGTTGCTATTTGTAGTGTTGTAGTGCGACAGTTATACGTACCAAAATGGCAAGCTATTTTTTAACTAATTTATCTATCAGTTAGAAAATATATCACACCTGTTGATAAATATTAGTTTATAATAAATCTATAATAAAAATATATAAATTTACTATAAACTTAAAAACTTTAAGCTTTACATTATTTTTAATTTACAAATTAACTTATTTTCAAATTTTAGAATTAAGTACATTAAAATAATATTATATTTTACAGTTCAGATTAGTGATGCCGACATAACGTTTTAACATTACTATGTTTTGGGTTTTGTCACATGATAAAACTGATAATAATATAAAT